CGTGGGCCGCAAGAAGGCCCGCAAAGCCGCCAAGAAGGCCGCAGCAGCCGCATGTGCCCCAGGGGGAACCGCAAAGACGGCTCCTAATACCTGCACAGCGGACTGCCAAAGGCGGTCGCAAGTGACCGGCTGTACATGTTCCGCGGTCCAACGCTGTGACAATAACGTTGCAGCCTGGAGCTGTGGAGCGTGGCGTGACGTACCAGTCGGTCATCGCCGAGGCCAAGGCCAAGATCAAATTATCTGATCTTGGCCTTCAGTCCGTCACCCTCAGGCAGGCTGCCACGGGTGCACGACTGTTCGAGGTGGCTGGCACTGTGAGCGGCAGTGCCGAAAAGGCGGACGCACTGGCCGCCAAGATGAGGGAGGTCCTCAACCCAGAGGACGTCCGGGTCTCCAGGCCAATGAAAACCGCAGAGGTGCGGATTGCTGGCCTGGACGACTCCGTGACCTCAGAGGAGGTGGTGGCGGCCGTTGCCAGAAGCGGAGAGTGTCCGCCGGACAAGGTGCGGGCTGGCGATATACGCACCGACGCCACCGGACTCGGCGCGGTCTGGGTTCGGTGCCCTGTAGCGTCGGCGAAGAAGATCGCCGATAGCGGCAGATTGCTGGTAGGCTGGGTGGCGGCAAGGACCAAGCTCTTACAGCCCCGGGCTTTGCAGTGCTTTCGGTGCCTGGAAAAAGGGCACGTCCGGGCGAAGTGCGCCGCTGAGGTTGACCGTAGTGACCTCTGTTATCGCTGCGGCCAGCCTGGCCACAAGGCTGCCCTGTGCTCCGCGGCGCTCAACTGCAGCCTTTGTTCTGCTGCGGGAAGGCCAGCGGAGCACAGAGTAGGCGGAGGGGCTTGTGGGGCGCCTACCAGCAAGAAAAAGAAAAAGGAAAAGGAGAGGAGCACTAAGCCTGCCGGGTTAACCTCCCTGCCCTCGCAGGCTAGCAGCTCCGCGGCCGACTCCCGGCCCAGGACCGTTGCCGAGGGGATGGAATGTCAATAATGGCACAATTCCATTCTCTCCATTTTCTCCAGGGCAACATCAACCACTGTGCCAGAGCTCAGGATCTCCTACTCCAGAGCATGGCAGAGTGGTCGATTCACGTGGCTGTGGTCGCCGAACCGTACTTCATTCCAGCCCGTGACAACTGGTTGGGATGCGCTGACGGTTTGGTGGCCATTATTGGCGAGACTCTGATCGACCCGTCTCGGGGCCGCGGCTGGGTTGCTGCGGTCTCGGGCGGCATCGTTATTGTAGGGGCGTATTTCTCCCCCAACAAGAGTCTCGCCGACTTTGAGGGTTTCCTTGTCGAGTTGGGCGCCGTCGTAGGCCGTTATCACCCTCGTCCCGTTCTGGTGCTCGGGGATCTCAACGCCAAGTCATCGGCGTGGGGATCTCCGGTCACTGACCCTCGGGGTGAGGTGCTAGAAGAGTGGACGGTGACGACTGGTCTGGTCGTCCTGAATCGGGGTTCGGAATACACGTGCGTGCGGCAGCGGGGTGGGTCGATAGTGGACGTCTCGTTTGCTAGCCCCTCTGTCGCCAGCCGAGTCCGCGACTGGCGTGTCGCCGTAGAGGTGGAGACACTGTCGGACCATCGATATATCCGGTTCGACGTCTCTGCCCAGACTGCGAGCGGCCGCCATCCAACAACCCCGATTAACGACGGCCCGCGTTGGGCGCTTAAGCGCATCGACAGGGAACTACTCGAGGAAGCTACCCTAGTTCAGTCCTGGATCTGGGAGTCGACGACGGACGGCCCCGTCGACGTCGAAGCGGTGGCGTTATGGTTTCGCGGGGCGATGACGCAGATCTGCGACGCGTCAATGCCCCGTGTCCGCCAACGGTCCGCAAAGCGCCAGGTGTACTGGTGGACCGCCGAGATCGCGCAATTGCGCATAGCGTGCGTTGCGGCTCGTCGCCGGTACACCCGATACCGGAGGCGGCGTCGACGGGATTCCGCCGAGGAGGACGCGCTGTATGAGGTGTACCGCGCGTCTAAGGAGACTCTGTGGCTGGCCATCGGCGACTCAAAGTCGCGTGCCTGGGAGGAGCTGCTGGGGTCCCTAGATCGGGATCCGTGGGGGCGCCCCTACCGTTGGATTCGGGGCAAGTTGCGTCACTGGGCGCCTCCACTAACACAAAGGATGCAACCCCAGTTGCTAGAGTCGGTGTTATCGACTCTATTCCCTGAGCGAGTGGGACACGTTCCCCCGGCGATGGCTTCGCCCTCAGCCACAGACTCTCCAGAAGAGGAGAGCACCGATGTCCCCGAGGTGACGCAAGCAGAGACGAGAGTGGCCGTGTCGCGACTCCGGGCTAAGAACACAGCGCCCGGACCCGACGGAGTTCCTGGTCGAGCTCTCGTCCTGGCTCTGAAGGAGCTAGAGCCCCAGCTGAGAGGGCTCTTCACGGCATGTCTCGAGCAGGGTCATTTTCCCAGTGTGTGGAAGGAGGGGAGGCTGGTCCTGCTCAGGAAGGAGGGGCGCCCCGCGGACTCACCGTCCGCGTACCGGCCCATAGTGCTGCTCGATGAGGCGGGCAAACTTTTTGAGCGTATCATCGCAGATCGCCTCGTCAGCCACTTGTGCAGAGAGGGGCCGGACCTGGATGACAACCAGTTTGGTTTTCGTCGCGGGCGCTCCACCATAGACGCTATTACGCGCGTGAGGGCCCTGGCGGAGGAGACAGTATCCCGGGGTGGGGTGGTGCTGGCGGTGTCCTTAGACATCTCCAACGCTTTCAACACCCTACCCTGGAGTTGCATTCGGGAGGCGCTGAATTACCATCGCGTGCCTCCCTACCTCCGCCGCACAATAGGGGCTTACCTTGAGGAGAGATGCGTTACCTATTGGGGACGTGACGGCGCTGGTCGGCGCGTCATGTCGTGCGGTGTTCCGCAGGGATCGGTCTTGGGACCGCTCCTGTGGAACATCGGCTACGACTGGGTGCTGAGAGGTGAACTCCCGTCGGGCGCCGACTTGACGTTTTATGCGGACGACACGCTCGTCACTGCCCGGGGGAGTTCGTACAGGGAAGCAGCGTTGGTTGCCACGGCTGCGGTGTCACAAGTGGTGAACCGCATCCGGTGCCTGGGCCTGGAGGTGGCCCTAAGTAAGTCGGAGGCCATGGTGTTCCATGGCCCTCGACGCGCGCCGCCGCCGGGTTCACACATCGTGGTCAGCGGGGCCCGGATAGCTGTCGAGTCCACCATGAAGTATCTGGGATTGGTGCTCGACAGCGGATGGGAATTCGGACCCCACTTCCGGCGGCTGGCGCCCAAGCTGATGGGTGCAGCGGGCGCGCTATCAACGTTGCTTCCCAACTTGGGGGGCCCGAGCGCCGCCTGTAGGCGGTTGTACGTGGGAATCGTGCGGTCCATGGCCCTGTATGGGGCCCCTGTGTGGGCGATGGACATGACGGCCAGCACTCTCGCCATTCTGCGTAAACCGCAGAGGGCGATGGCCGTCAGAGTCGTCCGCGGGTATCGCACGATTTCCTACGAGGCGGCTTGCGTCCTGGCCGGATCCCCGCCCTGGGACCTAGAGGCGAAAGTACTCGCGTCATTATATCGATGGCGCGAGGAAGAGCGGGCACGGGGCTCGAGGCCGGTGCAGCGGCAGATTGCGCTGCGCCGAGAGGAGCTCCGTCAGGTCTTGGTGGCGGAATGGCGGCAAAGGCTTCTGCGCCCTACCGCCGGCCTCGCTACCGTCGAGGCGATCCGGCCAGTACTCGACGACTGGCTCGGGAGAAGGCACGGCTCCCTGTCGTTTAGGGTGACGCAGGTGCTGTCGGGGCATGGCTGCTTCGGCAAGTACCTGCGCCACATAGACAGGGAGCCGGACGCTCGGTGCCACCACTGCGTCCATTGCGGGGAGGACACGGCGCAACACACGCTCGCCGAGTGTGTAGCTTGGGAGGAGAAGCGCCGTGTCCTCACAAATAAAGTAGGAGGCGATCTGTCGCTGCCGGCCTTAGTGCGGAAGATGGTCGGTAGCGCAGAGTCGTGGGATGCGGTGGTGTCCTTCTGCGAGGACGTGATGTCGCAGAAGGAAACTGCGGAACGGGAAAGGGAGATCTCGACTCCCTTCCCTGGCCGCAGAAGGCGCACCGGGCGCAGGAGAAGGGCGGACAACGCCCTTTTCCATGCCTCGCCCCTGGACCCATAAATGGGTCCAGGGGCGAGGGACTTGGGGAAGCCCCCGCCACCCCTACTCGATGGACCCGAGGCGGAGGCGCGCGCGGGTGTCGGCGCGCGCCCCTGAGGCGATACACGGGGTAGTTTAACACCTCACTACCCCGTGCAGGAGACGAGGCCCGGACGGACCGGGCCAGCACTAGTGTGGGGCTGCGGAAGAATTTGGATTCCCGCGGCCCCACGCGCACGTGTGAGGAGACACCGGGGTGGTTTTAGCCGGTAAGAGTCCGGCACGCCCCTCCGCCTTTCCCCAGGCGGAGGTAGTCCATGAGGATTTCCCCCCGTAAAAAAAAAAAATGGTAGGATATAATGAACTAAGAGTTAGAAGGGAACTTGCGCTCACCTCGTATATTTTTAAAGTACTCAGAGGAAAATTGCATAACGCTGAAATGTTAGGGCAATTAAACCTATATGTTCCTGAGAGGTATGTGTGGCGCCGACGGCAGCCGCGACTGTTGGTGGAGCCGCGCGCTCGAACCAACCTTCTGAGTAAGGCGCCTCTGACGCGCGCACTCCATACGCTCAACTTAATAGCTAGTGAGACGGACCTATTCTGTTGTACTCTGAGTGAATTCACAAAGATAGCATTGCTTGTAATTTGTTACAAAAATTAAAGCATGAAGACAAATTAGTTAGACAGCTACACTATCGCATTAGGTAATCCTGTAATGATAGTTGTAAGTTTCAGAAATAAATAAATAAATAAATAAAAATAAATAAAAAACTTATTTTACCGAACGCAACCGACATCGCTCGATCGTGCATGATATAGTCCTTAGTAAAAAACATAATAATACAAGTTGTAACTCGTTACTGCGCCACAGTACCTCGTTGGAAATGGCAGCGTATTTTGGCGGGCGAGGCGCTTCAAGTAAGTATAATTATTTTCTAGTGTTTTAATGGAATATTATTATTAAACTATTTAAACGTCACCGAGTACCGGAACAAACTTGTGTCTGAAGTCGAGTCTTTGCTGGACAAAGTCTCAGATTGGGGGCGACTAAATCTAGTCCAGTTTAATCCTCAGAAGACACAAGTTTGCGCGTTTACCGCTAAAAAGAACCCCTTTGTCGTATCTCCTCAGTTTCAAGGTACTCCCCTTGTTGCCTCAGCCAGTATCGGAATCCTCGGCGTCGACATATCGAGTAGCGTGCAGTTTCGTGGTCACTTGGAAGAGAAGGCCAAATTGGCCTCTAAAAAGCTTGGCGTGCTCAGCAGAGCGGGACAGTATTTCATGCCGGCTCAACGCCTGCAACTTTACAAGGCGCAGGTTCGGCCTCACATGGAATACTGTTCCCATCTCTGGGCTGGGGCTCCCCAGTGCCAACTTCTTCCACTTGACCGCATCCAGCGCAGAGCGGCTCGAATCGTCGACGACCGAGTCCTTTCCGATCGGCTCGACTCATTGGCACTGCGAAGAGATGTTGCATCTCTTAGCATTTTCTTTCGCATTTACCATGGGGAGTGCTCTGAGGAATTGTTCGGATTAATCCCAGCCGCCAAATTTCACGAACGCACATCGCGGCAGAACTCCCGATACCATCCACACCATCTGGATGATTGGCGGTCCACCACTGTGCGATTTAGAAGATGTTTTCTTCCTCGCACAACTTCCTTGTGGAATAGTTTACCACCAGCGATTTTTCCGGACCGATACGACTTAGGGACCTTCAAGAAAAGAGCCTACTCCTTTTTAAAAGGCCGGCAACGCATCTGCAATTCCCCTGGTGTTGCGGTTGTTCATGGGCGGCGGTAGTCACTTACCATCAGGTGAGCCGCATGCTCGTTTGCCCCCTCTCCTATAAAAAAAAAAAAAAAAAAATTATTCTATTAGTAATAAACCAACTCATAATATTTTAACGTATTTTTGTAATTATGTTCATTATTAATTAATTTATTCTGCATCAAATTTAAAGATGCACGTTCGTGCATTTTAGGTGTTACTTATACTTTTTTAATTTAATTAGAGTGTTATTTTATTTCGTTGTACGATGTAATTTAAGTGGTTATTTTTGAATGTTTTAGGCCGCATGCAGGACGAAGACATTTTACAAGTGTTGGGTGACGGCAATGATTCGGACATTGAGTGTTTTGACGACTCTGACGACGAGGAACCGTTTTTTGATCCTGCTGTCTTGAACAATATAGGTGACCTTGGTTTACCCGAAGATCCTGCTGAAAATCAAGGTATGACCAGGTGGAAGGCATTCTAGTACTAGACCAGTCCATACCAGCACCTTCTTCCGTAGTATCAACTGCTAAACGTCCGTGTCGCTCTGGTTCACGCCCTAGTCGCTGGAGAGTTACTTCGTTTGAAGATAAGCAGCATACGTACCTTGAACGACCTATGAAATCGATAAGACAACCAATTAATTACCTGCAAGATTACTTTGATGACCAGTTTTATGAAATGGTCAGTACTTGCACAAATTTATATTATTTGAGAAAGACTGGGAGTGAATTAAAAACTACGAAGTCTGAGATACAGAAACTTTTTGGTATTCATATTTTAATGGGATGTATTCCATTCCCAAGGCTACCTATGTACTGGAGTAGTGGCATTTCCCTAGAAAAAATAACTAGCAAATTGAGCCGTGATCGATTCTTACAATTACGAAATGCATTGCATGTAGTAGGCACTGATACTGCACCACCTCAACAGGCGACAAATACGTTGTGGAAAGTCCAACCTATGATAACTCAAGTTCGCAATGGTTGTAACAAGCAAGAAAGGGTTCCAGGGTACTACTCTATCGATGAGCAGATGATCCCATTCACTGGTCGATGTCCATTGAGACAAGTTGTTAAAAATAAACCACGACCAGTTGGTCTCAAAAACTATGTCCTCACAACAAGTGATGGGCTTATGTTAGACTTTGACATTTATCAGGGGGCTAGGACAATGTTCGGGGACACTAATCTTGGTCTTGGACCCTCTGTAGTTTTGCACTTATCAAGAAGCGTTCCCGAAGGAAGTTGTTTATATCACGACAGACATTTCACCACCATTCCATTAATAGAAGAATTACAAAATCGGAACCTACACAGCACAGGAACTATCATGGCGAATAGAATACCAGAAAAGACTAGTTTAAAATTCAAGAAGGATGGTCAAATGTATCGTGGTGAGAGCCAGCAGATGGTAAGGGACCCTACAGTATTGGTAAAGTGGAAAGACAATAAATCTGTTTTGATAGCTTCTAACTGCACTGGATCTAACTGTACTGAAATTGTTAAAAGGTGGGATAAGCGAACTCGCACCTATGTTGATGTGACTGCACCAAAAGTAATTCAAAATTATAACCGATACATGGGAGGAGTGGATGTTCTCGACCAACAGGTTGAATACTACCGAACATTCATAAAAACTCGGAAATGGACACTAAAAGTACTCATCCACTTTTATGATTTAGCTCTAGTCAACGCTTGGCGCGCTTACAAAATAGATTGCATTACCAATAATTACAGACGGAATAAAACACTAGATTTATTAGACTTTCGCCTTGAGATATCTGAGGTCTTACTGAGTTCCCCTGAAAAACGTCGCACTGAAGGCATGGAGGAAGTTGAAAACATAATGCTGAGGAAATTTAAAAAAGCTCTAATGCCATCGGCAACACTACGGTACGATGGGTATGATAATTTGCCAGTATTCGATGATCTAAAATCGCCTAGATTTTGCCAATTAGAAACATGTAAAAGCCGCACAAAAATTCGTTGCTTAAAATGTAACGCTTATCTTTGTGTAATTCGAGGATAGAATTGCTTTAAAAAATTTCACTGTAAATAATTGTTTTTTTTATTTAATTTTTTTAATAATGTTCCAAAAATGTTTTTAGATAATAATTGTTACTACTTTTGTTAAATTTTCATGATTACTTTAACGTTTAATTACTATAATGTGATTTAATTACATAAAAAGTTTCAGTTAATGTTTAATAACTAAATGTTCCTTTGATACTCATTAATAATAATAATTAAGACTGATTATTGTAATACTTCATTTTTCTAAAAATAATTATTTAATTCATAAAAGTTGTCTAATTACCTCAATAAACACACAAATCCACAAATAGGCACAAATGTGCATATGTAAAACTAATTCTAAAGTGCACGATCGTGCAGGCGATTTTCAGGAAAACCTAGCTTTTCCGATTTTTTTCAGTATTTTTCCTAGGTGTCTTATTGCTCTATAAATACTACCTATATCATAAATTATAATAAATCTTAACTTTTTTGTCCGGTTGTAAAGGGATAAGATATAGAATAATAAGACAAGACCAAGAATAATTGCAATTTAAGTAATCGATGCAAATATTGTTAAAGATGACGTAGCAACTGGTTAAATAAGTCTTTTCTTTTATGTTGAATTTGTATAAGTCTTTTCTACTCGTACTAAAAAAAGTCATCTGTGATCAACAGTTACGTCAAAAATTCTTACGATAATTTCTAAAATATTGATATTTGTGAATATTAAAAAAATTTAGTAGATGCGCCTTCTTATCATGAATCGAATGGTATATTTAACTCATTTATTCATAAATTGTTAGATGCGCCCTTTTTTCTTACGACCGCAGCATTGTTTCGTATCGAGCTAGATACAGGTCGATAGCGGAGGGGGTGTGGGTACAGTCGCGTTCTAAAGTACTACATGGTATTGGGCTATTGTTTTATAATATTATAGTAATTAATTGTTTTAATGTAGAATCATAATAGGTGTTTTACTAGCTACATAGAACTTTGGAAGAGGTGGGAATTAAAAATGGATAATGTTTACATGAGCATTATTTGTTATTTCTATCGTAAAATATAAAGTAGTTTGTAACAAGAAAACTTTAGCTAAGGGTAACACGCCGTCCATTATGACGTCTTGGGTCACATGGAAGCCAGATGTTAATGGTGTGTTGGTGTTACTGGATGCTACTTCATCATCACTTTCATCTTCGCTTGAGCTTCCGTCATCAGGTCGATCACATGGTAATTTTTTCGGTATTCTTCCTCCACACTTTTAACTTTACTGCACAATTTTCCCCATTCACCTTCTCCTATCATATTTACCTTTTCGATCACTAGTTTAGTCATAAAACAATAGATATAAATAATTTTTCTTTCCTTCCTTTTTAAAACATCGTCGCGAGTCGCAAAGTAAGCTGTGTATGCGACTGTATTTTTGGAGCGAACAAAGCGCGGGAACCAATAGCATGCAGGCACACTAATACTGGCGGATTGTTCCCCCGTCGCGCGCCTTTCGTACCAATATGTGATAAATCGCTCAGTGCCCAAGTTCAAGGCCAGCGTTTGTTTTTCACCGTTCGCGCGTACATTAACCTCCATTAGTCAGGTGATATCAATTCAGTTTCCACTGCTGGTTTTATGTTTCAGTATTTTCATGATATTTTTTATGAAATTATCGTTTCATTTAGCTGTACTAACATGATGGCGCGTGAATAAAGCTAATAAAACGTTGTTAAAAGATGATTTTTTTTTCATCAGGATCGACTTTATTTGTAACCCATGATCAAAGGTATACTTGGTGCTGTCGCCTGTCTTAGTTTTCGGGAGCGTTCCAAAAATACCCTGTATATATATATATATATATATATATATATATATATATATATATATATATATATATATATATATATATATATATATATATATATATATATATATATATATATATATATACAATTCGTCGACGACCGAGTTCTTTCTAATCGGCTCGATACACTGGCACTGCGTAGAGATGTTGCATCTCTCTGCGTATTTTATCGCATTTACCACGGGGAGTGCTCTGAGGAATTGTTCGGACTAATTCCAGTCGCTCAATTTCACCATCGCACATCGCGACAAAACTTAAAATACCATCCATACCACCTGGATGGTTGGCGGTCCAGCACTGTGTGATTTAGAAGATGTTTTCTTCTTAGCACAACTTCCTTGTGGAATCGATTACCACCAGCAATTTTTCCGGACCGATACGACTTAGGGACCTTCAAGAAAAGAGCGTACTCCTTTTTAAACGGCCGGCAACGCATCTGCAATTCCCCTGGTTGGTCATGGGCGGCGGTAGTCACTTACCATTAGGTGAGCCGCATGCTCGTTTGCCCCCTCTCTTATAAAAAAATGTAAAACTATATATACTTAGTCAGTTCATAAGCTCTGTCAAAAACTTTTCATAAAATTAATGATACACTGTTTGATTATTATATAAAAATTACATATGATATAAAAGGTAATTTAATTTAGAATACAATTTTATTTACATTAATTAAAATACCCTCCCCTATTTTGAATAAATGCTCTTAATCGACGCGGCCAATCATCAATCGCAACACGCACCACATTCATATCTATTTCTGCCGCTGCTTTAGCCAAAGATGCTCAGAGAGATTCCAAATTCTGATGAGGTTTCGCGCAGAAATTCTTCTCCAAATCTTGCCATATCTTGTAATCCAGTCGGTTTAAATCTGGACTAGAAGAGGGCCAGTCTTCATGTCCAATAAAGTCAATTCCATGGACGGTCAACCAGTTTTCCGTGCTACATGCCCTATGAGCTGGTACAGAGTCCTGTTAGATTATCCAATTTCTGTTTATGAATATTGTTTGAGAAAGAGGGTCCACTGTGTTTGTTAGGATGGTATTTTGGTTCACCTTGGCACTGGTTTTTACACCATTTTCACAGAAAAACGCCTCAGTATTAGCCTGAATATAAAACTCCAAGCCAAAGCATGCCTGACGAAGGATAATGTCCTCGTTGAAACCTCGGAATCACACGTATTCCGAGGTTTGGCTGGCTTTTTCACTGATGTGGGCATACATCTTATCATATTGTTTATTATAACTTTCTTCGATGTTAAAAATTTTTTCATCCGAAAACTATATTTCGCGGCAATTTTTTTCCCGCGTACCGCCGTAACAAAGCCCGGGATTTATCCAGCCTAATTTTTTTCAAACTCTCGTTCAAAAAATGTCCAGTCTTCTTACGATAAGCTCGGAGTAATAGGTCTTCATTGATCTCTCTTTTGACCGTGCTTCTGCTTAGGCCCATATGAAGAACTAAGATTTTTTTGTTTACGAACAGGATTTCGTTGGATTAGCGCCTTCACTGCTTTGATAATCGTGGGTGTCCTAACTGTAGGAGGCCGGCCAGTCCTCTTACGATCTTCGAAGCTTGAATATTCAGTGAATCGTTTGATAGTGCGATAAACAAATCGTAGGGTTATTTTCAATTTTTGTTGAATATTGAAAATCTCTTTTGGCGGGTAACCACATCGGTGCAACGCGATAACTATTACTCTATCTTCTTTCTTCGACTACTCCATATTTGAAAATGAATGAAAGTTTTTCATATTCGGCAAGCGCAAACGTTATATTTTTAAAATTGGTGAAATTCATCTAGCCCATACTCAAAAATTTTAGATATTTTAGATTTTGATAGAACTTATGACCCGACTAAGTACTACATTTTATATAATATGAAATATTTCAATTAACAATTCGTAAAACAAACAGTATAACAATTGAAATATCTTTATAAAATCACATGTCTCTCATAAAGATATTTCATATGTTACAATGAAGCGCGACTGTGACCTCGCTGTGTGAATCTGATTATTTCTCGTGTTACAATGTGGAATATTGAACATAGTAATTGGATTCGTTTGGGCTTTAAATTGAATGAATGAAATTTCTTTTCACCAGCGCGTACAAGTCCACTACTTGAAATATACGATAATTAATAGAATCAGCCGCTACTTTGTGGAAATCCACTTAGCATCATCTGCCGCTTCTCCTTTTAAACTTGGCATTTATTAACTTTGGTTATAGAATTGCTATCGTAAACGAATGATTTCTACAAGTCTCTAAAATAAAGTTAACCTCTATAATCTCCAGAAAACGATGGAAGGTGTAGCGAGGAGTTTAGGTGTAACAATGGGTTGAATAAAATGCTCCACATCAATAGATTGCACTCTAGATTATGATTGTATTGTTTCTTCTAAATTATATAGATTTTCTTTAATGCGTGTTTTCATTTCTAAATAAATCTCTATACAAACATCATAAATATTCTCATAAAGTAACAAAAATTCTTTCTTTGCTCTCGTTAAATACTGAACAAAGAATTGTATCTATTTTAAAAATATTTCCAATAGTTTTCTAATATTTCATTTTATTTTATTATTGTTACTTGTTTTTTTAATAAAACGTTACCCCCACACTAGGATTTTCTCCTGTATCGTGGAGGCAGTTTACAAACATAGATGGATGGCTCCGTGGTGCAGTGGCTTAGCAATCAGTTGTTGCGCTGGGGGTCGCGGGTTCGAATCCCGCACGGAACAAGTATTTGTATGGCCTACAAACAATTGTTCCGGGTCTGGATGTTTGTCTTAGTGCAATTTATGATTGTAAACTGCCTTCACGACACAGGAGAAAATTCGAGTGTGGGGGTAACGTTATTTAAAAAAATGAAAAAATGGAAAAAAATCGATTGCACGAGGACAAACATCCAGACCCAGAACAATTATTTGTAGACCATACAAATACTTGTTCCGTGCGGGATTCGAACCCGCGGCCCCCAGAGCAACAGTTCATTGCTAAGCCACTGCGCCAAGGAGCCGTAAAGTAAAGCCGCTCTTTGAAGTCGAGTAACTGGTATAACTAACTTGTGCTTGTTCCTAAATCTTCACTCCAACTCGATATAGGCTGCTCCTTTTTATCATAGGGAAATTCTCATGGATACCTTCTACTCCAGGAGTAACAGAAAAGTTATGCCGGATTCCTACCGGCCAAAACCCCACGGTGGTCACCATCAGCGTATATGACAGATCCCGGGATCTCCATTCGGAACGTACCCGGGCCCCCTCTCTCGCTAGGTTTTATTAAAGCACGTCCCGGGGGCAGTAGTAAATATATTATTGTAAAATACAACAGTTTTATCGGATGAACGCAGGCATAAAAAAGTCAAAACAGACCCTACAACCAATGTGCTCAAAACAACTAGCGATCTAATAAAATATACTCCAAA